GATGTTGGTCTCAATTAACAGTTACATCAACTTCAATTCCATTGAATATCCATATATCATCTAGTGGAACGGTGAGCCAATGGCAATCTTTTTTTATTTAAGAGATAATGGGTTTGAGTAGCATATATATGTATGGATATATGCGATGAGTTATGAAATAAAAGAGAGTTAATTTTTTAATATATAACTTGAATTAAAAATGAAATGATTCAAATTAAATTTTATTATTGGTTTAATAACTTTTTAAATCGAGATTTATACACTTTAAAAATTTTAACTTCAAATTATTAATAATGATTGATTTTCATTGTATATATTAATTACATGTAATTCCGTAGATTTAAGACCTTGCCAAAAAAATTTTAAAAAAAATTATCTAGGGCAGGCATATAATGATTCCCTTAATTTCTTTTATGAAACTCAAATCCTAAACGAGTTAGTAAGTTTCCAAATGAAGAAATTAGGGCAGGATCGCATGCGCACTCTCCCTCTCTTAGTCTTTTACCAGCTTTCAAAGAAGTATCCTAATTTGCAAAAGTTAAAGACTTAAATACTTGGACTGAGAAGTCCTCCAACAACTTTGGTCGTCAGTTTTAATGAACCTTGTTTGAAGTTTGAACTACAAACACAAGCCGCTCACTTTCTTTCCGGATATTTGTAAGTTTCCATCACTGCAGAAGTATAAAACAATAACATTTCACAACAGAAGTGAAATTGTAATTCCTTTGCAAAAGTTTCAATGAAATTTCCCATGCAAAAGTTGACTAATAACAATATTCCTTCGTATCAACAGCGCTATGAGATCAAAATATTAAGGCACTACATTTCACACCACTTTCGGAAATTTTTGGATCACTAAGAAGTGAGGACTTGATATATACAGCTTGTCTATTAATCTCCAGTGGCCTATGATCCTGATTTTGGCTTCTGAACATAATTAGCAAATGGTTCTCTGATATGTTTTCCCATTTTGCAACATATATAATCCAGGAATAGGCACAAAATAAGTTTTTTGTTTTTTTTTTACATCAAATGATAAGTTATACAATAAAAAATAACTTTTCTTTTCTCAAACCACTTCCCACCCATCCCAATATTCGAACTTAGATTTCTAACATGAAGATACGAGACGTCCCCTTGGGGACAGCACAAACTAAGTTCACACTAGCAAGTTTAGGTCTAGACACTTGGAAAAGGTTAATTTTGACTTAGTATTATATGTTTGAGAAATTATAATTAAAATTAAGTTTGTGATGATTTTTGAATGGAAGAGTTCGTATGTAGTCAAGTTTTTCGGCCCTGCTTCTCTTTTTAATTGATTCTGTTACAATCATACAGTTCTCTCCAATGGCAGTTGCTAGGTGTGGTCATCATTTCTGGGAGGAAATCAATTCTGACCGACCAGAACACGCGTGCCTTCCATATCATATGTTCATAATCGCACTTCTTCATGTGTTGTGCACTTGTACGGATTCTAATGTCTTTTTCTGTTACATCCGACCACTTATACTATTAGGCATTATATATGTTTTACGTTTTTGCCACCTAAAATTCGAAACTGTGTCACTCAACTTTAGCAAGCTCTCTGCAGTTTCTTGCCTTCTTCCTCATGGAATCAAGCAACTAAACCTGTGCCTGATACATCTCTATATCTGCTGAGCTGTGTATTCAAGTTTGACTTTATTAACATATTTCTTATACCATGCAATTGGCAAGCCAATTGGTTCATGTATTTCTTGTAATGAACAATAACTGGGTTACCTATTGGTATGCTAATTTTTTTTATTTCTTTATTTGAAATGGGCATTTAAAGTTAATACTAAGATAGAACCAGAGTTTCTTGACTCTCATGTGAAATTATATTCTTGAAATGAACAATAACTGGGTTACCATTCCTATAAATATTTTCCAGCAATAAATGAGCATTATTTGTAATTACAGAACTGATGTAATACTAATTGATTACACAACTAAGAGGGAAAATATGAGATGAAACTTTCTGATTAACATAAACTCATGAAACTAATACGCTCAAACAGATACATTAAGCTTTTAGAAACAATATTTGCATAGAAAATCACTGATTTTCCACCACATTTCATCAAGAAACCGGTAATATCTGCACCTCCAGTGCCTGTTAATCACCAAAGGACCCAAAAAACTCCAGAATCCCATGATAAATCCAAGTGCCATGCTCACAAAGAACCAATTTATTTCCTCTCCATGACCTTCACCTCTTCCACCACTAGTTTGAATGCTGCTAGGTTCTGTACCAACTGCACTGCATTTATCCATTAGTGGAAGGCCACAAAGTTTATTGCCAGAATAGCTAGATGCATTGAAGCTCTGCAACTGAGTACTTGTTGGAATTTTCCCGCTCAGTTGGTTATCAGACATGTTTAGGTAACTCAGAAACGTCAAACTTGACATGCTTTCAGGGATTGGACCGGACAATTCATTTACTGAGAGGTCAAGTGATTCTAACATTCTCATGTTACCCATGTTTGCAGGGATCCGTCCGGTTAAAAAATTGTAGGATAAATTGAGTGATGGCAAATCTTTCAGATTAGTCATTTCTGTAGGAATCTCCCCTGATAAATTGTTACTTGAAAAATCCATAACTTTCACCAAGTAAAGGATCCTACTGTATTCAAGCAACTGACCTTTCATCATAACAAATTCATGCTCCAAAAGATAGCCATTCCCGGCAGAGACATTTAACTGGAAGGGGCTGTCCTCCAAAGAATGTTCCATGGCACTTAAATTACCAACACACCTTGGAATGCTTCCTGAAAGATTGTTATGAGCAAAATCCAAGATTTGAAGGGAACTGAGTGCACATAACTTGTGTGATATGTGTCCCCGAAACTTGTTTGAACGAAGGCTCAAGATTATCAACTTTGTAAGGCTAATACCAATCCATCGAGGGATGTTCCCATCTAATTCATTTTCACTGAGATCAAGTACTTGCAACTTGATGCAATTTCTTAGAAAAGAAGGTATTTCTCCTGAAAGGTTATTTTTCTGAAGATGCAATGACTTGAGGTCTCTTAAAGTTCCAACTGAACTTGGAATTTCACCAGAAAATCTATTACTAGATAATATGACGATATTCAGAGATGGCCACTTGGTCCAACAGTTTGGTAATTCTCCAGATAAAGAATTGTTGCCAAGGTTGAGAATCTGCATTGCCATTGTTGCATTCATCTCATGACACAAAAAGTGGTTAATGGAAC